TACATCATGGCTACATTCATATACAATATACAAGTCAACACGGCGCTTTAAAGCAATGAGTTCCTACAAAGAACCCAACAGACAGTCCATGCAATCCTGAGCTACATTTTTTTGTAAAGACACCTTTCACCAACATCTTTCTTACATTAATATTGTGTTCAAATTAATCTTAAGTGAAACATTTTACATTATTAATGATGCCTATTAATGATGCACATTCACATGCATTCACTAATAGTGGCGTTCCAATTGAATCCCCTTTTTTTAATTATAATCTTCAGTTATGTGCTTAAACATGAGAATTTGTGCTTTGTATAAATGGCATATAGGAACTAATCTTTCAAACAAAGAAACCTTTATTGTGCCTCAGTTAAATAAGAGGTAATGATAAAAAAAATGTTAGTACAATTGTCTTTAAAATACAGAACTCAGCAAGGAACCAAAACTCACCATGTCAGTACTGTTCATCAAAACGCAACTAATGTTGGTATTTCGTATCGTATTGTGGTATATTGTGGTATAATACGAATCCCTAATATATCCGCTTTATCAATTGCGAAATTCTGCACAATTGATCTGTATGTGTATCCATTTCCTCAGGTTATTATTTCCATTTAAGACATCGGATAAATATTTTTGCTGTTTTTTACAATATGCTTTGTATTTTACGCAAACATAAGTATATATGCTTGTATTAAAGCTAAAGAGCAATTCACAGGTTATTGTAAAAAAAAAGATTAAAACCTATTTAAGGCATGGCGTCAGCAACCCAAAGGCAAGATGCTCTAGGCGTTGTTGGATCTACTTGTTGGTAAATATACTTCTTTACTTTGGACTTATATATCATTTTTTGAAGGGGTTGCATAAAAATGACTTACGACGGAGGAGTATCTTTATACTTTAAAGGTTTTTAGCTCACATAAAGTAAATTAACGTTGTTTCCGGAAAGACAAGGTTTAATAAAAAATAGAAGTACTGAGCTACAACTTTAAGTTATTGGAAAAAAAGGTTGTTTGCTCTCAATAATTACAGGTAAACTGTAAGGTCGCGTAACTTGATTTTTGTTAGTGTAGTCTTGTTTTACTTCAGGTATTCTAATACCACATTATTGTTATAGATTACATACCTAATGCGGATTGATGCTAAAACTCTGGTCCGGTTTCTATGTCGCTGCCATCTGTTTCAAGGCACTTCTAGTGAGGTTTGGCCAGGAACTTTACAATGTGCAAGTACTCCGCCCTCAGAGTACAATAAGACAAACCTTAGCACCATTCACACACCCCTAAAACCTCTAATGATCTTCACCTTCACCTTTTCCTAACCCAGCAAACATCACAGTTGACCCAAACGCTCCATCGGAAATTTCGCTCTTTGGGGGTTATTGAAACCCCCGGGTCTTTCCGGTAAATAAATAAACATAACATTTTTTTTTTAAAAAGTCGCCTAACTCCTATGCAAGCAAGCAGTATTTATCGTACGTTATTCTGGATATCATGATCATTATTAGAACTGATCGGACATACATTCAGTGTAACTGTTCTTTTGGCATTTATTAGAAGGGACGACACTAAGACATGGCCTAAAGAACTTAGAGAATAGAAATAAATATCAGGAAAAACGACACTGTGTGCCAAAAAAAGTACTGCCAACTCGAAAGTGTAGAAATCGTGTTTTCGAATTCATTATCCCGTAACAAAGCAAAATAGTTTAAAATACACCTGAGATGCTACGTTCATTCCCTTTCTGTATTTTGAAATCTTATCACGGGCGTTGCATAAAGCACTCTGCTGCCACACAAAGGATTGAGGTGTTTCCCATTCTGCAAAATTAAAGAGGCCAAAGAATTCGTGCACAAAAAGAGACCCATGGAGGAAGAAAAGCTGCAAAAAGTTTGTTACAGTTGTTTCACCTTTCGTTTTTTTTCTCTCAGTGAAAGCTTTCTTCCCGGAACTCAGTCCTATGCAACATTCCTGTTACAGCAGACAGCAGCGGACACTTGACTTTATGTAAAAATCCCGCTTTGTACCCGATACCCGCTTTGTAATGAACCGCACCAACAATGCACAAAATGTGTTCGTTTTCCCAATATTTAGAAAGAGCATTTTTTTGTTAAACAGAAGTTATTGAACACTATTATTTCATAAAAATCGAAAGCCGGATCATCTAATATTCGGGAAACAATAGTTATAATGTGAATGTATTACCTCGACATGTTATTCTGATTCTTGGGACTATTTCGATTAAAAGTTATAACATGCTCGGCGCTGCAGAGCAGAAAAGCTGGTTCTCTCACTTTTATATAATAATTTCCAGAGGTCGTTCCGATGAATTTGATGTTCTTTCGTGTCAGGGTAATTGGAGATTTGTTTTGTTTTCGCATTGGATAGTCCTTCAATCACAGCCGAGCAATTTAACCGAGTAAATAGAAATACTGTTAAGATCCAGTTTCTCCTCCCACCCCGGTTGATAAGACGAAAACATGCTGACAATGATAGAAATCTTATTGTGATATTACAGACGAGGGCTCCAATTATTTCGCCTACCTTGTCGGCTGTTGAACCGTATTCCCCCAAAACACACCCCACTGATATTTTTTTGAAATCGTGGTTGTGTTGTTTTTCGTGGAAATAATCAGCGCAACGTTTTTACTATAAATTGGGTCACAGACGCCCAGAGCCTGTGTAAAATATGGAGCTAATATAATCCCTTTAATTAAAATCAACTTTGTTGCAATTATTTTCTTTCCATTTTACAAGACTGTCTCGTTCCGAAGACACGAATACCGCATAATTCAATACCTCTGTCGTAAAGTCTACTTAAACCAACAACGGACAGTTTCATCAGTTCGACTTCTGAAGTAGGAAACATTTCAACTCTTATTTAGGTCCAGAACTCAAATAACACAGAAAAGGTCAATATAGCTTTAACTGTTCCGCACAGTGTTATGCTGCATTTGGGTGAGGGCAATCATATGGGCTTTAAAATCTTTGCAATCGTATATATTTTCAGAGGGCCTTCGAGAAAGAAAACTAGAACTCTTAGTAAGGTTGAATAATAAATGGACTTACCCAAAGGCCATGAACCGTGCCCTGCTCCACGCCTCTGACTCCCAAGCTTCGCCGCGTCCAGTAGATCTCTCCATAAAACTGCATCTCAGCACTTTATGAAAAAACTCTCAAACTTTCAACTAAATTATGATGAAGTTAGTTTGGAAACGGCGTTGCAATTTTTTAAAAAAAAAACTACCTTCGTCAATAACACAATTGCAGAAATGCCAGAATAAGACAGAACTAAGTAACCAAGTAACTAACCGGTGATGGAGCCAAATGATCAGGATTTAATATTGTATTACACATCTATAGTATACTTTATATACCGGATTATAAGCAGATTGGACATTTTAATTTTTCAGGTCTGTAGGGCTGATTTTGAGGAGAGAGGAGGGAGATATACAGTATTTTCTCTGTTATATGTATTCAGAGTGAGAGTTCGGCAGAGAACAGCTCACGTCACCGCGTCTTGGCACTATGCAAATGAGGCTTCACGTTTTTCTTTGGAAAATTATTATTAAAAGATTATAGCAACTGCCTCACTCAAACTCTCATTTCTCTTTCCGTATAAATGCTCTTGTTAATCCACAGTATGCACATCCTTCGTTCGTATCACCCCGTTTAACATTGGAGCGATACCATCTAGAGGAGAGATTCATTTTCCTTCAGGCCTATTGTGAAAGGTACTGGCCTTATTACATTACTCGTGGACAAATTTAATACAATGCAAGACGAACAAATGAGCAAATCACCCCGTACAGGCCAACAGGCGGATCAGATTAGCGGGAAGATTGTTAGCAAACGTTTTCTCACAATATCTGATATCTTCTATGTGGAAATCTGTCCCGCCAGAACATATTCAATATTTTAGGGGCGAGGCAAAGTAGCAATGCAAATAGATGTATTGCCTGCAAAATAGTGCTGTGAATTATTTTTGTTAAATAAAATGAAATACTCTATATGCATAACTTCTTATACAAACTCTGACCCATAATATCTTAGTTGGGCTTCGCTTCAAGCAAATGAGTGTTGAAGAAGCCTGGATCACAGCCGATACAGCTGTGTTCATTTACAATGAATATTTATTTCAATTGACATCGTGTTGCATTGTGGTTTTAGAATTTGACATTTTACAATAACAACTGCAGTAACAGTGCCCATAAAACTATCAGTTCAGAAACTATCAAATTAATTTCCTAACATCTTCGATGTTTTAATTAAAACCTTACATTTGGGAAATATGGTACATTCTGGAATATTATCTTCTGAGCACTATGGGGTTTTACTAATATGTATGTGCAGCGTGATTCTACTGGGAAAGTCTTGTTCTCCCAGTAAAAGTAGCTTCAAAATTAAGGCAAACAACGCAAAACCACAAAATTTTTTTAGAAAAACGTATGCGCCCATGTGCTTCAAAAAATGATGGAAACTGATTCAATTGCTTAATTAACAGCACAGTGGCGAAATAAATTCTAAAATGAATCTATTTAGAATCCACAAGCAGCATTCTGTTGTCAACTCTCTTTTGATTGAGCTTAGCTAAAATGCACGGATTTTACGTACAACAATACCAAAAATATATTATTATTATTATTGTTGTTGTTAATATGTTTAGTAAATGTGTAAAATCAATTGCAAATATAGATATATATATATATTGTAAGTGGTAAACGGGAAAAATGAAGATGGCAGTTAAATTGAAACCTGGCAGAAACTTTGAATGATTGATTTAGAATTTAGGCCTAAAAAAATGTTGGAAGTTTCATTCGAGAATCAGTGTCGCTTCCAGCAGACTCTGTTTGCTTTAGACGGGCTACGGGAATGACATCATGGAAGCTACGGTTTAAAATAGGACTGCAGACAGCTATTGATTTAGTGGTGGTAAAGAAAAGGACAAGATATCAACACTTCTGAATGTAACCTATTTTTTTTATTTCGGTGCCTTCTGTATAGTAAACATTTTAAGTGACAACACGGGCATATGATCACAATATCACAATCATGAAATTTAGAGACGACATTAACAATCACTCAAGGAATTTTATGAGGCATTTAAGCAACACAGGTTACACGTCCGCAAAGTTTACCTTTAAGTACAATAGGTTTACACATCTCACTACATTTACATAAAGAAAAGAAAAGGGACCTGTTAGTGATCACATACATCGAATTATGCACAACACAAACTAAAGGCAATCATCAATTGTGTCCCCTTCTGATTCTTATACAGGCAGTATTGTAAACTGGAAAATATGAATTACTTTCAAATTACTTGTTCTTTTAAACAAGGAGTGCATTTCTAGCCCCGTCTTTGGTCTAAAAGTAAACATGAACCATTTTGCAACGAAATGGAAAAAAAATGACCGAAAGGTTAGGCATGTTTAAGTAATATTACCGGTGAACTGTTTGAATACAAATTAAGCGTTGAACTCGTATAAGTGTATTGAAAAAAATAAGATCCGCCAATAATGGAATCAGCAGCCACCAACAGAACCATGATAACTTATAATACTGCAAACATGGACAGAGGTGGATTGATTGAAACAGACCTGCCTCGTTAAATTTTAGTTGGAATGCAGTCATTTTTTTTAAATACACAGTCTACATTAATTTAACTATTATCAGTGGTTTCCTATCTAAACCGCCCCAAATTGCACATTGCTGAAATTGAATAAACAAACAACCCTATGGGATTTGACAAAAAATGCTGACAAAAATGGGGACTTGAATAAAAATACCTGGGCTTCTTATTTTGAGAATTATTTACAATGCAAATATGTGTAAAACATTAACTTACAGTCTGTTCGAAGGGGGTTTGTTAGTGTATTAGAGGGTTTGAAGAGGAGCCCTGGGTTTGATGTGTGAAGTAATCAGAAAGCCCTCCAGAAAGTCCTGTGGAGAAACTTGGCAAAGAGGGTCTTAGAGACTCACAGGGAAGAGTTGAAGGCGCCTGTGGAGATGTGGAGGACGCTGCCCTCGCCGACATTGAAGTGCTGCTTTGAGAAGTCATTGACGGGTGAGGAACATGAGGGAAAAAATAACTCGTCTGTCCTGCCAGAAGATTTACTGAGCATGGGTTTAAGGAATATGTGCCTGAGCAAGGAACAGACAAACCACATGGCACCGAGGCAGCCAGGGCAGCTGCTGCCGTTAGGTGGTGGGTGGCATAAGGAATCTCTCCGTTTACAAGTCTATCTACACTTAACCCATTTGAAGTTGGAAACGAGTGGCTGTTTGCCAGAGAGTTCTGAGTTAACACCGAGCTGTAGGACATCGGGTGACTCGGGTAAGCTGAGGTGGTCCCATTATAACTCAAGGCACTGCTGGCCCGGGGATGATGGAGGGATAGGAATGGAGATACAGGCCAATATAAGGAACCTGCCCTATCCATAAATGTCAGTCCGGTAGAAGTGAGGCGCGCTCCTCGCTTGAAAGCTAACTTTGCTCTTGATGTTGTGGACCTCCTCCGGAGTTTTCCCGTAGTGCCACCTATAAAGACATCATCACTAGATGGATCCAACATCCAGTAGTTCCCCTTCCCAGGATCATCGTAATGCCTCGGAACTTTCACGAAACATTTATTCAGACTCAAGTTGTGTCTAATAGAGTTTTGCCAACCCTGTTTGTTCTCTCTGTAATAAGGGAAATTTTTCATGATGAATTCGTAGATTCCATTCAATGTCAATCGTTTCTCTGGACTCTGACGGATGGCCATCATGATCAGCGCGTTATAACTAAACGGAGGCTTTTCATATTTGCCATTTTTCTTTTCTCCTTCCTTTCCACCATCCCCTTCTTTACCGTCTGCCTTTTTCTCTTCCTGCTTCTCCTTCTCTTCCGCGCTGGGCTGCTCCCCGGAGCTGCTGTCAGTTTTGCTGGGAACATTTTCAGACTTCGACTCCACCGCTGGCAAAAGGTTTTTGTCCTCATCGTCGGGGGCAGATCGGTGGTGATGGTGGTTGTCACTCTGAACCGCTTCGGGCACCAGGCTGTTTATGCTGAACGATGACTTGGGGATCATTTTCACTTCTTTCTTATCTCCCATGTCCAACATCACACACGGGTGAAAGAAACTGCAGCAGCACAGTTGGACCGCAATCGCCGGCAACTCATGGAGTTTGCATCTGTGTGTGTGTGTGTGTGTGTGTAGGGGGGGGGGGGGGGGGGGGGGGAGAGAGAGAGAGAAAGAAAGAGAGAGAGAGAGAGAGAGTGAGTGAGTGAGAGCGACACTACTTCATGTTCTCTGGAGCAGGTCGAGCGGCGCCACAGCTCTCAGCTGCTGCGATGTAACGCGGACACTCGGCGCTCGGCTCAAACCCTCGCTGTAACCTTTTCACCGCGCGGCCAATCAGCGCGCCGTGCGTGCCCGTGCGTCCGGCCAGGCCGCGGCCAATCAGCGCCTCGCCCGCCTGTCCGCCCCGCCCCCTCCCCCCCCCCCACTCCCCACACACCCACCCGCACTCCCTCCCTCCCTCCCACCGCGCGGAGGCTTCCTTCCCTCACGGGCCCCGGGGGGGGGGGGGTGTTCGGCCGCCGCATCACTCAGTCAGTTCATCTCTCTCTCGCTCTCTCTCTCTCTCTCTCTCACACTCCCTCTGCAGAGAAGGAACATCACCATTCACACCTTCAACCACCGAATTAATTTTATTAATCATAAAAAAAAGAGTCGGGTGGTGGGTGGATGGATGGGATGGGATGGGGTGGGGAGCGAAAGAAGCCTGGAACTACTTTATACCTCCGAGGCCGCTCTCACCATTTTCCATTATAAAAAGCCTCCATTCTGGAAGTGGCTCTAAACCAATCTTTTTTGTCCATCGGCCCCCCCACCCCCTCACCCCCACCCCCTCACCCCCACCCAACCCTCTCCCCCCACACCCAACCCTCCCCTCCCCCCCAAGAGGTTTTTTTCGATTTTAAACATAATTTGTTGAGTTTCAGAGTACTTCCCCCCCACCCCACACCCCCTCTTTCCTCTCCTCTCCCCTCTCTCTCTCTCTCTCTCTCCCCCCACCCCACACCCCCTCTTTCCTCTCCTCTCCTCTCCCCCCTCTCTCTCTCTCTCTCCCCCCCACCCACCCCACCACCAGCAAAGAAAAAATAAATCCAATTGGCGCAGAACAATTTGGAGGCCATCCTACTCTCGCGCTGCGAAAGAAGTTGTTTGGTGGCAGACGAGCCATCTCTACAATAAAGAGCGGCGATGGTGGTGATGGTGATGATGATGATGATGATGGTTGGGGGTGGGCAAAGGACCGAAGGCAAGTGTGATTTCAGGGGCAATTCTCATCCCGTGTAAAAAGGTGGGGGGCGAAAGGGGGGGGGACAAAAAAAGGTGCTTAACACACAGGGCTGGGGCTGAGCTGCCTCTCACATTGGCCGGAGATCAGGCAGAAATGTAGCCTTATCCTCTTAATATTATCCCCCCCCCTCCTTCCCCCCCCCCTCCTCCCCCCCCCCCCCCAACCCCCCGCCCCCATGCCCATGCCATTCACATTGACATCTTAATGGCGGATGTTGTTGCAATGGTCTGTGTCAATAATTCACGGATATATCTTTTCTGATTTCGCAGTAGTGTGACTGGAGAGAAAAAAAAAGCATTTCCTCCTTTTCACTCCCGCCAAAAAAAAAAATATATTTTTTTTACATAAAAATAAAATAATCGGAATAATCGGTTAAGAGTGGAATGGAAATATAAAAGGGGCAAAATTGTGATGTTGGTCACAGATCAGTCTCTACTGGGGCTTATTTATAAGGAAACGACCACAAACCAGTGTTTGGTTTAAACGCCTCCCACATGTCGGATTTCTCTATCGTATCGTTTCTCCCCTCTTGAAAGATTTGTTAAACTACGAATCGATCGAGAAACGGTGGAGAGAGAAAAAAATATAGATAACGGAAGGAGGGTATTATTCCGCAGATGTTTTCAAACGCGTTTTATCCCGTGTGCAATGTTTGGGTCGCCGTGTAATGCCAATCGTTTTGCACATTGTGCACGAAATACAGCGATCGCTTTAGACTTGGGGTGGGAGGTGGTGGGGTGTGTGTGTGTGGGGGGGGGATGATAAGCCGCCTTTGTGTGCACCGATTTTTGCGGAGGTCATGTTTTTTTTTTTTTTGCATTTTGGCCCGATCACTACGAGTCGAAACGCCGTTTTTTTTTGGGTGCAAACGTTTGACTGGGAACTGTTTGGGAACCCGAGAAAAACCAAAGCCACGAGCACCAAAACCAGCACTGCCCCGCACACTGCAATGCCGAAGCGACGGTCCTGCGGCCCTGTTACAGTCACAGTGTCACAGTAACCACGTAAATACCACTTTAAATATACTTTCCTTTGAAATCGAATCTATCGGGAGTAAAATACAGATTCTCACGCTCGTCTGGTTCTACCTCTCTCTCTCTCTCTCTCTGTCTCTCTCACACACACACACACACACACACTCACTCACAGGCTCGATAATTCTTTCCCGTATAAAAGTACAAGGTATTTTAATGAACGGGTGTAAGAAACAAAAAAACAACGTTCCTATTTTAAACGGTTTCGCAACGTGTCGGCAGTATAATACGCAGAGGCTTCTTCCAGATTGTAACGATGTGATGCGAAACTTACTGAGAAGTGCGTTAAACGAGGCGTTGCGTAGAACCGAATATTAATAGTTGTGCTTCGGAGTGGTCGGGAGGAGAGGGCCCTCCAGTGAGAAAAGCCCTATTCTGTTGGATTTTCAGCCATTTGTGATACGCGACTGAGATATGGCAAAAAAAATAAATTGCACGTTTGAATCCTTCGATGTGGCTACGAGCTATTATTGCATTTACATCAGCTACTGGAGTTCTCCATTTTAATACAGCAACATATCTGAGGCCAAAAGGTCACCAATGAAATCTGCACAAGGTCGTAAATTGTTTTGGGGGGTCTGTATATCCGCCTCTATGCGCGCGCGCACACATATTTTAATAAATAAATAGTGAACCTTTCTCTTATATTTTCCGTATTAAATCTGAAGGGCAGTATGATGATCCACTGGTTTTCTTACCCACTCTTGCGTGAAATGATTTAGCGTAACCGGATTCCTGGGAAAGGACAGGTTACATAAACATTTACTGATGTGGAGTAACTATAGTGCGTGTATTCTGATATACAGGAAGGAAAGTGTTGATTAACACGAAGAAAAAGCGAGATTAGCTGTGCATGCTCATATGCGCAAATCGTCATTGGGATTGTTTTAAAAAAATAGACACAGCTGTTGTTTGCATTGAACCTCTGTTGTTGCTGTGATTTAGCAGTACTCAAATCAACATTTCTGTGTAACAATTTAGAATCGTTTACAAATGTGTATTCCACACTGATTTTTGGAACACTGTCTGAAAGAAGGACGCAAACTGTGCTAGTTCGGTACCATTGCAATCTTTTAATTGTGCTTGATTGATATTATTTCATTTTTGTTTCTAAAAGAAAAAGATTGCCCCAAAGAAGATGCATTGTAAATGGACTCAGCAAACGTAAGCGCAGCGATACAGGTATTCAACATTTAAGGACTGGGTGTTACATAATTGATGAATAAAATGCCTATCCGAAACGTGCCATTGGTTGTTCACCATTTGATGGAAGAAGAAGTTTATATAATGACTAGAATGCATTCATTTAATATACTGACCGAGAGAACTGAGATGGAAAAAACTAGTTTAAAAAATACAGTGAGAGTTATGTGGTGGATGTGCGCCTGGGTTAGAACTAGAGCTTCCGCTTTCCAGATAGCCCCATAAAAGGACCACTTGGCTCATTGTATTTCTCTGTATATGTATATATATATATATATATATATATGCATTTTAATGGTCATGACACGTTTCACAACGTATCTAGCAGTATTTTCAGTTCTGGGAACACAATTTCTAACAATATGTTTATTTGTCTCCTTTGCAGATTTTTATCATCGAACTGCAATGAAAAGAAAACATTTATTTTGAATTGGATTCCAGATTATTTTTCTCTAAATCATGGAGAACCCGGGAACTGTACACTAATTTATAGTTTGTCACAAATATATCTTTATCTATCTGGGTGTTTTACTTTAAAATGTAGTTTGTGATCATTTGCACTTCTTTCCTGAAAAAATGGCGAATCCTCATTACTATAACGAATCCGTGTAGAGTTATATAACGGATATATAAATGTGATTAAATAAAATTGGACGAATAAATATACAGCTTGTCTCCTGATAGCTTTTATTGTCAGATTCCAGATTTATTGGGATTACACACATCAAGCAAAAACAGAGGATTTAAAAGCCATAAAGGGTCGACTTTTTAACAGTGGCATATTTTTTTTAAAAAAACGAATCATGCATGGAATGATTAATGCAGTCCTCGATTAAAATAGCATTTGAAACATTATTTCACGACGAATGGTAACATTTACCTTTGAATAAGTCAATGAGCAAAAATTTGCGACACACTGCATCTAACTTGTGATCTGGTTTGTGCGTTGCACCTCGAGTCACTGCCAGAGCTGCTCATTTTACAAAAGCGGATCATTCATTTGTTACGAACTTTGACCAAAAAAAAAAACCCCACCGGAGATATGATTGGACAGACGTCAACTATATATTTTATGACTCTCTCGTCCGTAAGTGATCTAAACGTGCATTATACAGTATTTACGTTTGAAAGAACCAATAATTGAATTCTCATCTGAGTAACTGAATTAAATACCACACTCGACTAACCGACTGTAGGTGCTAATAATTACTGATTGAAAGTTTCTGTATTTAGCGTGTTGCATCTTCCTTAAGTGTTTTTTTTTGTTACAGGTTATATTATTAGGTTTGCGAGAACAGTAGTGAACTAAACTTCCCAGTTAGTGGTCTTCGCACCAGGAAAGTGTTACTTTACTACACCAGCCTTGCCTCGTCACTCATTAACTCCCTATAGGTTGTCAGCGGCTCCTCAGCACAAAGACCAGCACCAAACTAAATTAAGGGCCCGATGATTAAGACGAACGTTTACTAGCGCTGTCATTTACAGCATCTTTCCATCATAACATTGTGTCACCGAGAAAATTCTGAAAACTGCACAGAGTGAGAGAGAGAGAGGGAGAAAAATACCACACAAACCTAGAAGAGGCCGCTCATTCGCTCCAATCCAACGCATTGTGTCATGTTAACACGAATAATTGTAACTGGCGCATCATTACATTGATTTGAAAAATAAAATTGGAAAATGTACACACAGTAAAAATGTAACGACTCAGATAGAGGAAACATCACGGGATTGTGGTGAGTAGGATTGTATATATGTATTGTCTATGGAGACTAAATGAAGTACATGCCTAACTGAAACATTTGCGGACAATATATTGCTGTTTTGCTGCTTTATTCCTATACCAAAAGTGCACGCTTTTAAAACGTCAATGTCCTGGGGGCAGGATGTAAATGAGATTAAAAACACATGCAAACACCCCATTTTGAGCCGTGACAAGACAACGACCGTGAACCGCTGAGTTCACTTGGTGTATTGAGACTACATCCTCAAATGCTTGTAAACGCATTTCAACTGACTGAATAATTGACTGCGTAGGTGTTGAGAAAATCTAAGTGGCATCTAGTATACGGTATCAGACCACTGCACTGCTCGAGATCCAGACACTGAGGGGATAAAAGGGTGATCCGAGGGTGTATTCATCTAAAACGATGCACAAAAAAAATTGGAAACTTATTGGAAATCTGCCGAATCTTTCTGACGGCGTCTAACATACATAATAATAGTCTAACACAGAAAGCAAATCATTTTGCTTAATAGCTTTCTAATTAGCAAAGGGATTTTATTTCTTTTGCTTGAGATATCAAATCACCCGAACATTGAGACAATTCTTTTGACACTACCTCTCTTGGTGAAAGGAGAGTAGGGGGTGTAAATATACCGCAGAATATGATTTATAAGAACGTTTGCTTTTTTTTAAAAAAAAGTTGTTGCAAAACATTCTGAATAATTAGTAGTTACATATTTTGAAAAAAAATTACCTCGGGAATAAATAAGACAAGTATATATATTTTTAAAACAATCCTATTTCAAACACAAATAAAAAAATTGAAATATAAATAACGCATTATATATTGGAAAGCAACGAATGTAATGATTTTCAGTTTAATTTGTTCCAGCATTTGTTTCCTATATGGAGTTTAATGATGGACTGAATGGACTGAATGGCCTTTTTATTGTTCATTTTGCTTTTGCCCTTACATATTTGTAATATTTGTTCCAGTGATTGATCAGCACTGTGTAAATCCGGTGGGCGGAAACAGTTATTATTTTTTAAAAAAAAGTCATTAAAAAAAAGTTGTTTTGCATCGACAAAGTCTCTAATGTTCAGGGCTCAAATTTTCAGTGTGATATTAGTGTCACAAGAAAATTATTTTGATCTGTGTAAAGAGTACAGGTGATTAGGCTGCAACTGGAGACGTTGTTAGAGATGAATTTATAACAGAACCGATGATCCCTCAACCGACTCTCTATAACGTGTTTATTTCCTTTTATATGTCGAGAATAGCTTTAATTAAAATTGAGAAACTCATGTCAATATAAATAAATACAATCTACCCATTATATTGCAAAGGATTATTTTGAACATATATTAATTTACTAACATATTCATTGCACCAATTTTGTTCTCCGTTGATGTGTGCTCCCAATTGGAGATCAGGAATGAAGGTGTTTTGAATAAACGCTACCTTGTAATTTACAATATCTTGTCTGTCAGACTGTAAAGTCTATAGGCTGCCGTTTTGAACGGGTGTGTTTATTTATTGGAAGCGCTGCGCTAACATTATGATTGCCCTCAAATATTGACTATCAACGCGGATGATGTTACACCTCGCATTTAAGCAGATAAAGATTTTTAACTCACATTTCACATCATAAGGGAGCTGTGGTTCAAATAAAAAAGCAATGTTACCTGTGTCAAATTGAAATTCGACAAAATTAAAAATGTATCACTTAATCATGTTTATTTTTGTTCACGATACTTTCAGTTTTCAAATGAAAACGACGACTTATGCAAATAAACCTGTAAAGCACGACTGTACCAATTAATTGTGCTTCTATGGAAATTAACACCACATAGAAGACAGAAGTGAACGTTTCAGCAAACATATGTGTGAATCATTAATATTTCATTGAATTTGATATCGCTTCATGCATGTTTCAATCATATTTAATATTATTTTAATAATCTACTTAGTGCAATATTGCAAACATTTGAACTCTATATCAAGACCACTTAGACTATATACATAAAACTTTGTTTATGTGGTGGTAATAAAGCAAACGGTACTATTTCAACTGCATTAAGGGATATATGTTTACGTTTGGAAGTTGTAATGGAAATGAATTGATAGTACTGTCCAAACTGCACACTATAACACATTTTCTATTTTTTTTTAAAAAACGTATGCTTTTGATTTCTACAACTTTTTGTAAATCTCGCATCCGATTACAGAATATTCCCTTCAAAGATCCTTCAATGTAAAAGTTTTTCAATAAATTTCAATGACAAGCTTGCAGTTTCAGTCTCCCGCTTCTCTCTCTCTCTCTCTCTCTCTCTCTCTTATTGTTTAGTATTTAGCAATATCGGTGGAAATTAAGATTAAGAAATAAACACTCTTTTGGATAAATTCCCATTTGTAATATCTATCTTTATTTAACCCGAGTTACTGCACCAGATATGGTAACCACGTTTGCAAAACCCCATCTCTTCAGAATCAATGAATACGACGATTTCTGTTTCACGTGTAAAATTGCAACATTTGATATTAACCGCGTGATGAGCAATATTTTATTTCCAGGCGATTTGGGCAATTATTCTCACTTGCTTTCTCCTTACGTGTTGATGTAATTTACATAACGCGAATATGAATAATTATAAATATTAAAATCGGGTCACATCTGCAGCAGAGCGAATGTCAGAATGACAGCGACACCGCTTTGTGGTACACCTCACTGAAACGGTTCTCCCTCAGAAAATATTCCAAATGAGTTGCTTGTCTCGACATGCTCTTGTTGCAGTCGGTGCTCAAGGTACACAACATAAACAAAGCGCTGAAACTAACACATAATTGCCGCTCCATCGTTGTTCTAAAATAATCCATCCCTTTACTTCCAACGCCACGCATTGCACAATAGCTAATTATGTATAATTTATCAAATTTGAAGCAAAACAGGGTTTATATCCATTATTGCTAATTGGGATACAGACTTTGTTTTTCTTCCCCCCCCCCTCCCCCCCCACACCTCCTCCTCACCACCCCCCCCCCCCCCCCCACCACCCCCAGTAGATTCTGGTGAGCCGTGAATGGAGTGCTGGAAAACAGAGATCTGCTTGTGTAATATAACTAAAATGATCTGCAATTATTAGAACACCAAAAGGTTTGAAAAATAGCACAGCTTTCTATCTGTAATAATTTTTTTAGAAAACTGCTACGCACGTTTACCAAAAAAAAGAGAACTGTAACACTTATCGTCTGCCACTCTACAACTGGGAAAACTATTCTCAATTCCGTGATAGCAAATAGATTTTTATACTAGGCTTTCTTAAATAAATGCACTCTTTTTTTTTAGAAAAAAAAGCTGGGGCGACTGTTTGATTTACTGGTGATTTATGGCGTTAAGTAAAATCATTACAAACGTTGTGTAAATTCTTAAACATGAACCCAAACAACGTTTGCTTTTAGAAGAACATATTAATCTTCGCAGATGAAAACAAAGACAATTTGAGAGAGAGAGAGAGAGAGAGAGAGAAACGAGTCGACCACAAAGTCAGGTTCACTGGTATCGTATCTGACACCGCCTCCCAATGTAACAGACCTGTTCCCAAGCAATGCAGGGACGCCACCTAGTGGAGCGGGTCGTCAATTACCTCTCAGAAACTGGCATTTTTTACTGGTTCGCGACTTCAGTTTAATGTATTGTACATGAGATAAACACACAATCCCGCTAATATGTAATAACATTAGCTTTGATGTTTCATAAATATTTACAATCTGCAAAAGTAGACGGTGCATATGAAACCAAATATTTAAACAGTCGCTTTGAAATTTGTGATGAGCCAGTTCATTTCTTAGCAACCACAGCATGAAAATTGTTCATTAAAGCCCACGGAAAATAAATCGTTTCCAAAATCAGCGGGAAAGCTGCA